AGCCATCTGCACGTCTGTGGGAAGAGGAGGAAACCGACCCAAGTTTAGCAAACAGCTCAAAGAATGTTTTTTCGAGTGCAACATGAAACACAAGGCAGGCTTACACAGTTTTCCAGGACACACCCATTCGTTCAGATCTCACTGGCACGATGTGCCTTTCTGCATCTGCACCACGGACTCCAGCTGCTGAACGGGAGTGAGATACTGATCTCTTTCCATCCTCTCCAAAGGAAGGAATTCCCCAGTACTTCTTCCAACACGTTGCTCAGTTCATATCTCCACCAGAATCAAGTGGCTCTAACATCAGAAGCTCTTCATAAGACTGATACAAACAAGGTGAATCCTGTGCTTTGGACAAGCTGCAGTTTTATATCGCTCTGTAAGATTTCTGATGATCCTTCCACATAATGGTGGTCACAAAGACAACCATTTCCTAATGATAATGAGTTTATGAATTAATTGAATCCTTTAGTGATATTATGACTCAAAAACTAGAGCTGATTGCCACAGTTATTAAAGCTAATTACAAAAAAAAAAGATACAGTTTCTCATGCACAGGCAGCTTGTATTTAAGATAACTGGCAAAACTAAGCCAAGGTTACAGATAAACCAAAGTTACCGGATGCAATAGCTTAACAACTCCCACCTTAACACAGTATTTTTTTAATATTTAAATCTATTGTCATTGACCTACAAACAAAAGTGATCAAAGAGTAATTATTTCCTTCTTCTCCTCCCACATTTGATCTCTACGGACACACTACACAGACAAAAACCCCTAACTGAAATACATGTAAAAGCATCCAAGTCTGAAACACAAGTTAACAGAAACTCTTTTATTAAAAACTGCATAAGAAATGAATACCGCAACACCTACAGACTTCAAAAAAAAGTATACTGAATGAGATCACAAATGGCTAATATTTATGAGTCAAACATGTTACACACATCTCACTTTTCTCTGATAAATAAGTGGCATCGTATGCCTCCAGTATCTAATATTCTCCCTCGTTTGCTGATACTTGCGTGCATTACACAAAAAAAATTCACATTTTTTTCCACTTTATTCTCCGAACCACGTTATTTATGCACCAGGTCCCACACACACACCCCCAAAAAGGCAGCACAACCAGAAGATAAGAATCCCTCTAAGAGCTCCATCTGTCACAAGTGTACTTGGTACACAGAACTACTCGAGCACGGAAGAAAAATGAGAATTCTCATCACAAACCTTATTTTAAAAGGCTACAGAAGGTCTCAAAAAAACGACTGACATAAGTAGAGAAGATGGAAAAAGCCCTGTTCTCCACGCCACGGGCAGGCTGCTCCTTACATAAGCATGACCATATGCTCCAGGGCCCGTCTCCAGGAGGGGTGCCCGGCTCCGCTCCGTGTCTCACCCGTGACAGCGCACGGACCGGGGGATGCGCAGCCGGCCGAGGGACCGGGGGGAAAACACAGACCCCACGGAGGGCGGGGAGCACCGGAGCCCCCCGGCCAAGGCAGGACCTCGGTCAGGGCGGCAGGAGCCCGCAGCTCATCCCCGGGGCCCGCACAGGCAGGCAGCGAACCCCGAGACCCTCCCGCCCCGCTCCCCAAGCGGAGAGTTCTCTCCTGCCCGGCGCAACTCCCGCGCTCACCGCCGGCGCCGCGGGCGGCCCCGCGCATCCTCCCGGCCCCGCTGAACTCCAGTAACCCCGGCGGCTCCCGGCGCCGGCGGAGGAGGGGAGCGGGGAGGGGAAGGGGGGGATGGAGGGCGGGGAGAGGAACGGGGGTGGGGGGGCTGCGCACGGGGAAGGCCGGGGAGCCCCGGCACGGGCACGGACAAGCAGGGGCGCGGAGGGGCCGCGGGAGCGGCGGGCGGGGGGCGCGCGCGGGAATCACCTGAGCCCGCGGGGTCGCCGCCGCCTCCTCCTCCTCCTCTTCCACCCCCTCCTCTTGCTCCCGCTCCCCGGTGTCTCCGCGCCTCTCACGCCGACGGCGGCGGCGGC